AGCGCTGTGGATCCTTACGAACCCAACGCATTTCTTAAGAAGTCAACAGAGGTCAAACCAGCCTCTGGCCTCTCCCCATCGCCGAGCGCAATCCTAGACGTATCCCTATCCTATATACTCAATTGCCGAACCCACGGAGCCTTAACAACTCCGGGGCCAGAGAGCCGAACCAAACCCACAGAGCTTCAACAACTCTGTGGGAAAGAAATTGTCGAACCTGCGGAGCCTTAACAACTCCGGGGCCCAAGAACCGAGTTTGTCGTAGTCCTCCAACGAGGATTTAAGCGGAGCTGAACCTGGGAAACTGTCCAGCCTACACTGCGACCATCTTGGGTGTAAGTAAATAATCTTTAAATCAACCACTACGCCTTTGTGACTAATTCTAGCCCGTGCGTGCCTTGCCGCTGCACGGTCTCCTCTGACCCCGTGTGCCCGGGCTGCTGGCCACAGCCCACGTGTGCAAAGACGGGTCTGCATATCGCTCCCAGCTCGCACATGGCGACATGGATGGGATCGGGAGGCGGCCCGCACAAGGATCAATCCGATCAGGTTCTAAGCCTTACCTGGGAAATGATACTGCAGCAAGTGTAGAGGACGTTTATCACTTTGCAGAATAAGACCCATAGTTATTTTATTTGAATATGTGTCTGCCTATTTGACAAATTAGCTGAGCTTCAGTTTCAGTGGGATTTAAACAAGGACTTAAAACTGCACATGCCTCAGACATTTTGTTAACTGGAGAGTCTGGTTGCCCAATGCAACTGCATAGGAATCAGTGATAAAGAAGAGTTTGCATAGTAGTTCTTAAGCAAATTATTTTTTAATTAAGATTATTTTTTAAGTATTTAAGTTGTTGTTTTTTTTAAAGAAATATAAGATTAGGGAATTGCATTACTACAACCCTGGGCCAGATGTTACTTTTTAAATGTTAATGTATTACACTAATTTTAGCTTGTTAAAAATGCATGCTAACCATAGCCTCCAATGGATACAAAAGCTTTTCTTTAAAGGACCATACGTATTCTAACTTCTGTTCTTCCCAGCTCCTTAAGTAGAACATCTCTTAAGAGGAAGTGACATGAATTTATTTTCTCCTGTAAAACATTGTGCTATTGTGTTAAAGCCATGATTGTGTTTACAACTGCTTTAAATTTTAAACATTTCATTTTTGTGCAAGAAACTGAAATAAACTATGTAGTTGACATTATATTCCTCTGAACTGGCAATATTTTACTAAAGAATTGTACCAAACTATCAAATGGTATCCAGAAAAATATTCACATAATGTCCTACTGTGGTTCAGCTTGGGGGTCAGCAGCCTATGGCATTGGGACCAAGTATGACGTGCCAAGATCAGCTTTGGCTTACAGGGGGTCATGTTAAAGCAGCAATTTAAAGGTTGCATGTTGAAGTGATTGCATTAACACAGCAATTTAAAAAGACTACATCAGGGGGAGGCAACATTTTTTGGCTGGAGTGCCAAAAAACCCACAATGTCAACCTTGGAAGGTGCTGGAGTGCCAACATGCCAGAGTCTGGAACAGCTGTTTGCAGCCTCCTAGCTGCAGCCGGCCCATGGAGCCTGGTCTGCTTGCAGCAGGGCTTGCAGCCTCCCAGCTTCCTTTTGGGAGCAGCCTGGGCTCCATGGCTGGCAGCAGGTGCTTAGAGCTCGGGCTGGTGGTGGTGTGCCGAGCAAAATGGCCTTGCGTGCCATGCTTGGCACGCATGCCAAGGGCTGCTGACCCCTGGACTACATTAAAGCAACCACTTGAAGCCTCCTTATCCATGCCCTTGCTGCCAAATTTGTCATTCTTTGTTGGCATTAGCTATGGGTTTTGGTGGTACCTGGTAAGCAGAGGGCACAGAACAGGGAGGGGATTGGAGCAGCAGGGGACAGGGGGTGGGGGATTGGCAGCCCATGGTGACATCCAGTGTACAAGTGCCTGATCTGCTACTCTCTTGCCCAAATGACTTGATCTTCAGTAGAAGAAAGGTAACATCCTGTATCTTCAAACTTTGTGAAAAAAATGTTCCTCAGTACAGTAACTACTAGGGAATATCAACATCTCCTTGCTCTAAGGCAGTGGTGCTCAACCTATGAGAGCTTGTACAACTTGACCTCTAGCTCGTGCGGGGTCCCATGGGCCTACTCCTATGTACTTGATCATGCCAGCATGTGGGGTTACCTCACAACTAGACCCGGTGCATGGGACGAGGCTGGCATGTGCAGTCACATCTACAGACTAATATGGGATCTAGCCTGTAGACCGACCCCTGCACTACTCCTCAGGGCTGGATAGGTTGCGTTCCACTGCTCTAAAACAGGTACATTTAAGGAAACAGTATTTCTCATATTTAAATTGGCAAATTAATAAACCAGATTAAAATTGCCATTTTTTTAAAGAAGATTTCTTCCAGTTTATAAATTCTAACTATAATAGAAATGCTTTGAAAGATATTACTCAGTTTCAGGCTGTGGACAGTTGAAAGAAGTATAGTAGTAGAAGGGGATGGAAGCCTTACTATGCATCATGGTAACTGTTTCTTGCATGTCCACTTTATCCCATGCTAAGATGAATCCAAAATGTTGCAATTTAGTGGTTGTTTCATTCAGGGAGACATGGTTCTGGCTTGGCTGTCACTTGCTGCATAAAAGAGGTGATGCAGTTACTATGCATCAACTGATCGGTAGTAAGGGCTAAATCCTTTTTCACTTGACATGCCTCAGGGGAACTTACACAGCCACGTAACTGCAGTTTTTGGCACTTTACACTTGGTCTGAGAAGGATAGCATGAACCCTTTTAGATCAACGAGGAAGAAACTTCCATAATCTCTCTGCTTCTTTTCCAGTAAATATAAATGCAAGATGAAGTGGGTCAGTTTCAAGAGGAGAGTTGAAGAGGGATCTGGTTAATGCCTGACCTCTGGGCTGGTCATTAGAGCACACTGCTGGGAAGCAGAAGATGCAGGGTCAAACCCACTCTTGGTGAGAGGAGTCTAAAATCAGGGTCTCTTGATCCCTGGGCACGTGCCCTAACAATCACTATGCTGATAGGCTAAAACAGGGGTGCTCAACCTCCAGCCTGCTGGCCACATGCTGCCCATGGAGCCATGGCATCCATCCTGCAGGACTCTCCAAGGGGGGAAAATTTGCTGATGTGGCAATACTGCCACTCTCCCCTGCTTCTAAATTCCCATGTCCCCCATAGCTGAGTTGGAGCTGGGCCATGCCTCCTGTCCCCAGCACAACAGATCACAGCTGGGCCCCACTTTCTCCCATCAACAGGGCTGGGTTGGGGATGGCCTGCCCCTGCCCCCGGCTCCCTCTGTGTGGCCTAATTGGGACCCCAGCAAACCCTCCCTGGCCCTTGAGTCAGGACAGCCTGCCAGCTCTGCCCCACAGATGGTCAGGGTATTTTCCATCAGGCCTGCAAGGCAGAAATATTGACTACCACTGGGCTAAAACATGGAAGCAACAGAAACCAGAACTGTGTATGTGAAAAAGTTGTAGTTACATAGCTACATGCATGCCATTTAGGCACATAAAGTGAAAGAGGATTTAGCCCTAAATCTCCCATCCTCCTTTTAACTCAATAAAATTGCTTCATCCGTAGCCATAGTTTGACTTCTGTTACCAATTTTAACTCTGCAATAAGCACTGTAGTCTACTTTTAACTTATACATACGAAAATTAGGTAGTAAAAATACTTACAAAGCATTGCAAAGCAGGTTATTGAAATTAAAATTAGGCCATATTGTCCCTGGTGTTTGCCAGGAAAATGAAAATTAGTCATGCATGCTGCTTCATTCTGTAGAAGGACCAGGGATAATGGGAAGCGTGTATCCTTGGAGGAACTTAAGGACTACTTAATCACGAAATGCCCTGGGGTAAAGGATATGAGAAGACATGGAATAGACTGGTGAGGTAGGGAATCAGGCTGTTTCCTGATGTGAACATTACCCATCTGTTGCAGTAGAGTACATAATGGCCAGGCTGCCATTATGTCAGTGGAAGTGAACTTAATTTTGATTTGGTTTGTATTTCTACTGAAGAGAAAGGAACATTTACTAGAAATAGCAATACCTACTTGTTTACAGTACACAGTATCCCCACTGAAATCACAAACATGCTGGGAGAAGTGGAAATTTTGAAGAGATTTGAAAGAAGTAGGGCAAAACAGGTTTGCCCGTAGGGCCAGGAAGAATATTCTGTACTTTGCCATATGTATGTTACTAGAGAGTAAACAGCATAGGTTATGATTTAATTAGAACTGAAATCCAATCTAAGGACTTTTCTAGACTTGCTGCTTATACTAGTTTAACTAAATTATTTTTAAATCAGTGTAATAAAACAGATACAGGTATGTTAACAGAAGTTCGTATTTCTGTTTTACTTTGATTCAGCTCAATCTGTAGAAGTAGGGTTAAGTTAAAAAAAACAAAACCCTGCTCTTAAGTTGAAATACATGTGGTTGTTTATGTACTTGCTTTAGTTTAACTAAACTGGTTTAGAAACATTTTAGGAAGTTTTGGGTTATGAAGAGGTAGTGTGCAAGTGTGTATGCCCAAAGGTATGTACTTTGATAAGTGAATCTGCAATACAGCCCAACCTTGTCATGACATCATCCTGCATTATATGAATGAATCATTTCCTAAGAGTGACCCTAAGTAAAAAAAACCCTGTAAACACTTTTCTGGCTGTAGAGTTATTTTTACCAAAGGTCTAATGTATGAGGGGAGCAGTTGAGCACAGCTCTGTCTCCTGTGGAGAAATGGTAGGTTTTGGAATGACAAATGGGTTATTGCAAAAGAGGACTTGGATAAGAGGCCAAAAAAGTTGAAGCGTTAAGTTATTAAAAGAAAATATTAAATTATCAGAAATTACCTGGGCCTGGCCTGATCCCAAAAAAGGTAGAAGGAAGAGGAAGAAAATCCATGTGTAGCTTCTTTTATTCCCTTTAAAAAAATACCAAGATGGTTTATGGTTTGTTTTTTCCAGGTCCGCACCAATGTCCTGTCTGAAAACAAGGAGCCAAGAACAGATGCTGGGGTGAGCATTTTCTGTTCAATTTCACTTTGTGTTGACAGCTTAACCGCTGCCCCTTCACCCCCTCCTCAGCCCTCTTCAAACAAGAGACACACTCTAACTTTAAAATACATGTAATGCTTCTAGATGGTTATCGGGTTATTGGGAGCTAACAGACTCAGTTTCTATTGGAAGGTGGGGTAGCTTTTTAGAGGTTCTTGACAGGAATAATAGACTTGATAAGTGATTTGCTTTGAGTGCATTTATTCCTTGACTCCTGAAAATCCTGCTCATATAAAGTTAATCTCAGTTCATTGAAGCCTTCTAGAATACTGCTATTATCATATAACTAACTGGGTTAGGTATGGAATTTGGGATCACACTTATCTGAATAAGCATGGGCTTTAGTTTTCAGGGGGTGCATCTACACATGCCATTAATGTGAAGCAACAAATCTTGGAGTTTATTGCTCTTGGGCATGCTGTTTGAATGTGTGTGTGGAGCCATAGCATGTTGAGTTGGGTTGGAGCAGCCCCTGCTGGCAGGGGGCCCCAGGGGCCTGTGCCAGACCAGGGCTGCTGCTCCCCAACCCCACCCCGCTGCACACACACATACACAGCACAGTGTATTGCGGTGGGGCTGGCTGGGGCATGAGGGTGCTCCAGTGCGGAACTAGCCAGCAGGCATCACCCTCACTGAAACAGCCCTGTCAGCATCTACATGTATGTAGATGCATAATAATGAACACCGCCATAGGATAGCACTTGTGTTTAGAAGTACACCTGCAGCAAAGTTAAATAGCTTACTACAGTCTAATAGGGGTGCATGTGTAGATGCATGACTTTTACTGTGGAGCTGACTAGTCTACTCCTCAGTAAATGTCTCATGTAGATGCTCCCAGCATGAAGCAGAGGATAAATTTACCACTGCTATAACAGTTATCTTTGTTGTGTTACTAAGTAATTTTGATGATCTGTCTAAAGCCCACTGCTGTGCCCTACTTTTAAAAAGGGGCCTACTTTTAGGGAGGAATTGGGCTATTGCTTCTATGTCAGGGCTTGATAAACACAAATAAAACTGAAATGCCATTGGTTTGAGAAGTGGCAACCTTGTTATGTAAGAACCCAGAGGCTCCCCTGATTGCATTTTGAAAAATCTGGAGTCACTTTCTTCCACAGTGGAAACATCTGCAGTATTTATTTATTGATTTTATTTGATTTGCCCTTCTCCAAAAAGGCTCATGGTGGCTTACAATAAAAACAAGATAAAATATAAAAACAGATAAAATATTAAAGTAATAAGTAATAAAGCAATTCCCCAAACAGTACCTTAGAACTTAACCCCACTTGCAGTAACATAATATGGGCTAGGTGAAGAGGGCATGTTTCCCAGGCACTGCCTAAGGGCGGGGTGGCGGATGCCTCACTCCTGCTTCTTGCTCAGCTTGTACTTCCCAAGTACAGGAAGCAGCAGGTTCAGGAAGTGTGGGTCACAGTGTTCCAGAAGTCATAGTTTTATAGGGCAGCAGGGGAGTTTGCTTTTGGGCTAGGGACAAACATTCAAAAAGCTTGAGCCTGAATTGATTCAGTCTTTGCAGGTTAGTTTATCCTGGCTAGGCTAAACCATATTTGTAACCAGACAGACATCCCAGAAATGCAAGCACATGCCTTCAGTGGCTCAGGCTAA